CTCTCTCTCTCTCTCTCTCTCTCTTCTACAGGGGCGTTGTCCTCATTAACACAGCTCTCTCTCTCTCTCTCTCTCTCTCTCTCTTCTACAGGGGCGTTGTCCTCATTAACACAGCTATCTCTCTCTCTCTTTCTCTCTCTCTGTTCTACAGGGGCGTTGTCCTCATTAACACAGCAATCTCTCTCTCTTTCTCTCTATGCGTTCTACAGGGGTGTTGTCCTCATTAACACTGGAGAACGTAGTTTGTATGTTATTATTTATACTCTAAATTATAACATACAAACTACGTTCTACATTTTGGTGCTGTCGACAGTCGAATTGGGTTATTGCAAAACAACGCTGGTAGGTATTTCGCTCTCTCTATGCGTTCTACAGAGGCGTACATTAACACAGCTCTCTCTCTCTCTATTCGTTCTACAGGGGCGTTGCCCTCATTAACACAGCTCTCTCTCTCTATGCGTTCTACAGGGGCGTTGTCTTCATTAACACAGCTCTCTCTCTCTCTATGCCTTCTACAGGGGCGTTGTCCTCATTAACACAGCTCTCTCTCTTTCTTTATGCGTTCTACAGGGGCGTTGTCATCATTAACACAGCTCTCTCTCTTCCTGCGTTCTACAGGAGCGTTGTCCTCATTAACACAGCTCTCTCTCTATGCGTTCTACAGGGGCGTTGTCCTCATTAACACAGCTCTCTTTCTCTGCGTTCTATAGGGGCGTTGTCCACGTCAGCATCACGTTTGGCCACACGAAGCAGTCGCGGGCCGAGATCATCGATCCGTTCTTGACCGTATTGCTGCCAAAGTACATCACGACGCCCGTGTTTGGTGCATGTAACTCCACCGTCACGCCCATCGCTACTACCGAATCCTACGGTCTCAAGATATCGGTGAGCGATGGTTGCAGTGGTTACCGTAGAGGCACATAGTATTAGGATATCAGGGGTTGTGGTAGTAGTGGGTACCATAGAGGCACATAGTGTTAGCATAACAGGGGCTGTGGTTGTAGTGGGTACCCTAGGGGTACATAGTGTTAGGATATCAGGGGTTGTGGTTGTAGTGGGTACCCTAGATGCTAGAGGCACATAGTGTTAGGATATCAGGGGTTGTGGTTGTAGTGGTTACCCTAGAGGCACATAGTGTTAGGATATCAGGGGTTATGGTTGTAGTGGGTACCCTAGGGGCACATAGTGTTAGGATATCAGGGGTTGTGGTTGTAGTGGGTACCCTAGGGGCACATAGTGTTAGGATATCAGGGGTTATGGTTGGGATATCAAGGATTGTGGTTGTAGTGGGTACCGTAGGGGTACATAGTGTTAGGATATCAAGGGTTGTGGGTGTAGTGGTTGCCCTAGAGGCTCATGTTGTTAGGATATCAGGGGTTGTGGTTGTAGTGGGTACCCTAGAGGCACATAGTGGTAGGATATCAGGGGTTGTGGTTGTAGTGGGTACCCTAGAGGCACATAGTGTTAGGATATCAAGGGTTGTGGTACTTGTAGTGGGTACCCTAGAAGCACATAGTGTTAGGATATCAGGGTTTGTGGTTGTAGTGGGTACCCTAGAGGCACATAGTGTTGGGATATCAAGGGTTGTGGTTGTAGTGGGTACCCTAGAGGCACCTGTTGTTGGGATATCAGGGGTTATGGTTGTAGTGGATACCCTAGAAGCACATAGTGTTAGGATATCAAGGGTTGTGGTTGTAGTGTGTACCCTAGATGCACATAGTGTTAGGATATCAGGGGTTGTGGTTGTAGTGGGTACCCTAGGGGTACATAGTGTTGGGATATCAGGGGGTTGTGGATGTAGTGGGTACCCTAGGGGTACATAGTGTTAGGATATCAAGGGTTGTGGTTGTAGTGGGTACCCTAGAAGCACATGTTGTTGGGATATTAAGGGATATGGTTGTAGTGGTTATCCTAGAGGCACATAGTGTTAGCATATCAGGGGTTGTGGTTGTAGTGTTTGCCCTAGAGGCACATGTTGTTAGGATATCAAGGGTTGTGGTTGTAGTGGGTACCCTATGGGTACATAGTGTTAGGATATCAAAGGTTGTGTTTGTAGTGGCTATATATACCGTAGAGGTACACATTGGCAGGATATCAGGGGTTGTGGTTGTAGTGGCCACAGGCACTTGGGACATAGTCAGTAAAAACTGAAAATAATATGAACGCCCACTCACAAATCCTACCCCTCAATTACACTTCCACTGTTGTGTTACTGTATATCAACGTGCTTTTACAAAAACGAATGCAGATCTAGCCGCTCCCGAACTCGCCGCTGCACTCGCACTTGCACTTGCACTCGCGCTTGCACTCGCACTGTCCCAAGTGCCTGTGGTAGTGGCTACCGTAGAGCGAACGTGTGAACATGACAAACACTTATACAAATACAAACGCAGAACATTTACACATACTCTGCCTGTGGTCACCAGTGAGCTACCTCCCAATTGCCTCGCTGGGAGCCCGTGTGGTGCCCCGTGCCACCGCCACACTCGCCAATGTTTTCGTTGGGTTTTTTTCGATTTCGTTATTTTTCAATACATTATCACTCCGCAGCGCTAGCACCAGGACAGAAGGCTGAGCAAATTCCTAGAGGGGTCAAAATTTCATGACTCAACTGTGTAATGATGAGCGACGGGCGCAGTTCTTAATCGACGTCCATAGTGTGGTAGGGATGGGTCTGAGACAAGACATTCACGGATAAGTGACAAAAAAATCTAGTTCGAATTATTTACAATTATTAGCTAAGCTTTTTTTTAAATTTTGTTTTAAAATCTAGGGTTCAGCTGCCCCCTTGCCCCCCCCCACACATACAGGCTAGGGCCCTGAAAACGATCACTCCGCAGCGCTAGCACTGTCTATAACGTCACGCGTTTTGCTGCTATACAGTACTCTGGCTATCGGATGCTCTTCCAAGATGTGTTCTCATGTGACGTGAGTGTCACTTACGAGCGCTCGCTCATGGCGTACGTGGGTATACTGAACGGCGTGGTCTACGCCAGGATGGGCGGCTCTAGCTTCCCTTACAGGTAGGTGCAGCCGGTGCTGCCATCTCTCGGGCGTGTCTAGTATCGTGGCTGCCGCAGATAAAGCTGTGTTTACACTACCGACTATGTTGGCGAATTGGCGAATTCGACTAACTTCTCAATTCGCCAACTCCGAGTTGGCGAAAATAGACTTGTAGAATCGCATGATTGTCCGTCCATCTGCCCGTGCGTCCGTCCGTGCATCCGTGCGTGCGTCCGTTCGTGCATCCGTGCGTGCGTCCGTGCGTGCGTCCGTCCGTCAACAGTTGGGCAACAATCTTAACCGCTCGACGTACGATCTTGATATTCGGGACGCCGGGAAGGATCGCGAAAAGAACTCGGGATGTCGAATTTGGGGATCAAGGGTCAAAGATCAAGATGTATCAATGGAGGGGGAATATTTCCCCCTTAACTTAAGGTATAGGAGGAAATAGGGAATTGCGGAACGGCTTGACCTACGCTCTTAATATTCAATGTATAGTGTGATGGGGGAAGAAACCCATCACCTGCGCGAAATTGGAGGTCACAGGTCAAAGGGCAGTGGGGGAAAGGTCAGATATCAGACATTTTCTGAGGACATGGTCTAACGGACCGAGTGCAAAACGTTTTTGTTTCAGCGCTGACCTACCGTTTTTATCACTTTTCGAAAGGACCATGAAATCTACTTTCCGCTGACGTGCGAAGAGTAAGTGTCTGATAACCTCTTGACCTTCAAGAGGAGGGTTAAGCATGGATTTGTTGACTGTTAACAAAGGACTGAACTGCTTTTGCTATTAGAGCCCCTTCCACCTGCCATAAGGCTGTTATAATTATATACTGTTGCAAATATCACGCCCGTATGTACGCGCCAATCCATGCATGCGCACGCACACGCACATGCACAAAGACATGCACACGCGCGCACGCACGCACATGCACAATCACACAGACATGCACAGGCGCGCACGCACGCACACGCACACTAACACGCGCACATGTACACACAAACACGCACGTACGCACGTACGCACATGCGCACGCGCACGCACTCGCACACATACACGCTCTCTCTCTCTCTCTCCCCCCCCTCTCTCTCCTTTTCTCTTTCTTTCTCTGTGTTCAACAGGGGCGTTGTCCTCATTAACACAGCTCTCTCTCTCTTTTTCTCTCCCTGCGTTCTACAGGGGCGTTGTCCTCATTAACACAACTCTCTCTCTCTCTCTCTCTCTCTCTCTCTCTCTCTCTCTCTCTGTTCTACAGGGGCGTTGTTCTCATTAACACAGCTTTCTCTCTGTGTGTTTTACAGGGGCGTAGTCCTCATTAACACAGTTTGCTCTCTCCCTCTCTGCGTTCTGCAGGGGCGTTGTCTTCATTGACATAGCTTTCTCTCTCTGTGTTCTGCAGGGGCGTTGTCCTCATTAACACAGCTCTCTCTGTGTGTGTGTGTGTGTGTGTGTGTATATTATTCACTCATGACCACAGCTATGTACATGAGCTCATGCCGCCATGTTATTGTCTTGCATAATCAGCCTTTGTAATGCGCACGTGAACATATTTGCATGTAACTTGTGCAATATAAATCAAGAAATATAATTTATTGTCTTGCAGGGAACAGCCGGGGTGTCCTGTTTGTTGCTAGCACGGACTCGGCATTCGTCTGTGACGAACACATGTTTAAGTAAGTACGAATGAGAAGTGCTTGGATGCAGGGCCGGATTAAGCTAGTGTAGGGCCTGTAGCATACGTTATAAAAGGGCCCTAAATTTAAAAAAATTAAACATATATATTAAAGCAAACAATTTTTTTTCTTGCATAGTAAATGCTATACAGCCGGGTAATACGACAAATATGTCTGCCATTTCAGTAATAGTATTACTTACATGTAGGTATCAATTTCAAATGTCCAAGTAACAAAACTCCCATTTAAAGTTACTAAAACGAAATTGTTCGCTTTATTTGGACCGCGGGAAAAAGCGGGAAAATGGAGTGACAGCGGTCAATTGTATCTCGCTGTAACAGATCGCACATGTGTTTGTGAAGGCAGATTTTTACATCTGTGCTTGCATTGCTAGAAATCTTGTTCAATATAGTAGCATCAAACATTGTTTAAATTAAATTATTGTTTATCTAAGCGTGCGTGTCTGAGGGCGTGCGTGCGTGCGTGTGTGCGTGAGGGTGTGCGTGTGTTACGCCCGCTCATCACGTAAGTAGACAGCATTAAATAACAACGGAAAGGCGCTAAATTGACGACCCAGCAGCAGGACAAACCAACAAGAACGCCATCTTTTCTAGGAGAGAACCACGCATGCGCGCCGTTTAATACCAACATAAAATACATAGATCGTACATTTCGTACATTAGGTATAGTATAGTAGAAATCACATCTTCTCCACACTCTCCCTCCCCCCTTTCAGGCGCGTAGCCAGCGGGGGCGGTGGGGGCGGTGGGGGCGGTCGCCCCCCCCCAAACACCGGCCAAAAAAAGAGAGAGAGAAGAGAAAAAAGCAAGAGGACGTAGGAAGAAAAAGGAGCATACAAAGACACATGACAAAGACTGTGTTAAAATGATTATAAAAGAAACAACAGATATCTTTTAATTATTTAAAAATATTTTGTGAAATGAGCTTTGAGCCCAGCGCAGTTCGCCTTTCATCCAGCTCGGCATAACATATCATACGTACCTACACAATAATATGACTATCAAGCTCTACTGATATTTTGTGTACAGCAGGTCGGGTACTCTACGTGCTACTTGTGTATTCTTATTGTGTTTCTGACCTGTCACACAGTCCTGCTAGCAATTATGGAAATCTTATGATGAAATGCTGATTGTTTTGTGATTAGTTGATTTAAACGTCAATATATTTATCACATGCATGATGCTCTTTTCTGAAGATGTCCTAAAAAGAATCGAAATCTTGTTTAACAATAAATCCAATATTATTTTTGAAAATTCAGGATTAAGAGTCGAGAACGGTACAACGAATCGTCTTCTTTCTCTAATAATTTAATGAAACGTCAGAGCTTCCGCGCTTCGCGCGGGAGGGGGGAAACTCCCCCCTCCCTGCACCCACCCCTAGGAAGCGCGCTCTTTAAGTGATTCGCACCAGGGGCGTAAATCCCGGGGGGATGGGGGGATGCATCCCCCCGCTCTTGAAGGAGGGGGGATGGCCTGTACAAATATACCCCCCTGAAATTCCAAAAAAAAGAGAAAAAAAAGAAAGAAGGAAGAAGAAGAAAAAAGAAAGAAATGTGATTGTTTCAATTTCAGCATAATGCATGAGAAATGAGTTTTTTAAATGTATGTATAACTGTATAGCCTACAGTACAATTCAGTGTTAATCATGGCTATTGCATGGTATGCAAGACAGACTTTCAAGTGGGGCACGGAGGAAGGAGTGACTGCCAGAGGCATATAGTCTCTCAAAAGTACAAGTGCTATGCGGGTGCAATGGAATCGATCCATCCAATATACCCAATATATCAAGCTTCTTTGCAGCAAATAGAGAATTGTCTGTCTTGACGCAGAAGTGAGATTTATGGATTATTTAATTGAACACAATGTGCCTTTGAGGGCGGCAGACCATGCAAATAAACTTCAAGAAAATGTTTCCAGACTCACAAATAGCCAAAAAGTATGGTTGCAAACATGCAAAAACACGTGAAATTTTGAGAAATTGCAATTCTTACCTGTGTTTTAATACATGTATTATTACTATAGTAACCTAACTGTGTACGCTCTCTGAAAAGTAATGAAAAGTGTTTTGAATCCTAACTTGTAGGGTTGAGTCTAGGGTTGAGATAGTGTCATCAAATAATAATGATAATATAAGCGAAAAATTCTAGATTGAATCCATATGTCCCAGGTTGGGACACGGCCAACCCAGAAGCCACCGGCTAATGCCGTGATCCACTTTGGAAACAACAACAATAATAATAATAATAATACCATAAACATAAGTAATAATAATAATAATAATAATGATAATCGTGATCATAATAATAATAACAACAATGAGAAAGACGACAACAACAAGAAAAAGCCCAGTTACGATGATTAGGGAACAACATGTAAGTCAGGTAGCTAAACAAAATGATGGGGGCATTCCGGATAAAAGCACCAAACGTTTTCCATTACGTTAATTAGCTTTCAAATTTTGATAGGAGCCACTTCACCAAGATAGAGGAAGGTGGCCATCTTGGATTCTAAGATGGCCACTATGTAAAAACCTATAAATGCCAATATCTCGGCTTCTAGACCACTTAGGATGGCAATCTTGGTGTCTAAGCATACATTTTCTGGGGCAAGGAATGCAATTATACCATTTTGAGTATCAATAAATGATTTATTTATTTAAAGTCAGTGTTTACAAGAAGCAGAGGACATGGTTAGTGGATATTTACTGAGTTAGCGAAACATATCAGTTCACTGACTCGATTCTTCGCTTTTGCTTCCCATCCGCAGCCGGCTGGTCGCCAGGTGTCAGGTCAGGCGACTTCCATCCCTGGATCCAGATCGACTTCGGACGAGAACTGCTGGTGAGCGGATTCACGGTGACCGACAACGGCGCCTCGAAGCCGCTGACGATCGACATGAAGTTCGGCTACGACCTGAAAGCGTGGGCCGACGCTCTAATGGTACATACGCACACGCACGCACACGCACGGACGCACGCACGCACACACACACACACGCACGCACACGCACGCACACACGCACGCACACACACACGCACACACACCTAGGCACTCACACACGCACGCACACACACCTAGGCACACACACCTAGGCACTCACACACGCACGCACACACACCTAGGCACACGCACACACGCACGCACACACACCTACGCACTCACACACGCACACACACACACACACACACACACACACACACACACACACACATACACACACACCTACGCACTCACACACGCACGCACACATACACCTAGGCACTCGCACACGCACGCAAACACACCTACGCACTCGCACACACACACACACACACACGCACACATACACACACCTACGCACTCGCACACGCACGCACACATACACCTAGGCACTCGCACATGCACGCAAACACACCTATGCACTCTCTCACACACACACACACACACACACACACACACACACACACACACACACACACACACACACACACACACACACACCTACGCACTCACACACGCACGCACGCGCAGATGCATGTAGACTTTATGGCTACAAATTACGATTTGGACATTTGGTCAGTCTTCAGCTTAACTCTAACTGCTGGTCAGTCCTCAGCTTAACTCTAACTGCTGGTCAGTCCTCAGCTTAACTCTAACTGTTGGTCAGTCCTCAGCTTAACTCTAACTGCTGGTCAGTCTTTAGCTTAACTCTACTTCGTCCGTCGGGTCACTAACATTTACGACTCGTGCGTACCCTGCAGCACACAGGGACCTAACGCGAGCTGGTTTGAAAGACCCAGGTCCTCCGAAGGTCTTACAGGGGGAGGACGGGAGGGAAATGGCAAGTTAACAGTTTGCACCCTAGCATGGGCTATGGCGTTGCGCTAGATTTTGGAGGCAGTAATCGCTAAATAACCCAACGTGATTTTGTGGTTCGAGCTTATGCCATGAAAGGCGGGGTATTCAACCCACCCCTATAACACTAGACGTCGATCCAGAGCCTGCGCCGTCCTCAATCACTAAACAGTTATCTGGAAAATTTTGCCCTCTCCCTCCATTACGATTTGCTCAGCCCACGGTCTGGTCACGCGAAAGCGATCGGCGACAACGTAGCAAATCTCCGACCTAGCAGCACACATGTGTGGATTACAGCCTGTTCTGCTTCCATCTATTACAAATACGGCATATCGTATATACGTCTCCTATGACAAATATGTTGCGTATGTGTTGTGCGGCATAAATAGAGTTTAAGGAGCGCCTAGCAACGCAAGCAGCTTAAATTCTCAGATGTAAAACGGAAATGCAGTTGTACTCGCCAATATTGTCATAGGAAGAATCTTCCTAGGTGCATAGGAGAGCGTATATGCGTAATGTCGTATTTGTCATAGATGCAAGCAGAACATGTTGAATTACACACAGTATTCTTACCGAGCACTGAATTATCGGTGTCTATTTTCAGCACATGATGTCTTAGCCGTCCTTCTCCTGTTGAAATACAATGCATGATACAGAGTCACTCAAAAACTCTACGACAGATTGGCGCTCTCGCTTCTGGCTCAATTTATCCGCAATACGTTGAACAGAAGGGGCGCTGCATCAGTTTGAGAGTCACTGAGAAATTGGCACGCGCACGCCCTCACGCAATGCCACGCACGCACGCAACGCCCTCACGCACGCACACAACCCTCAGCGCACGCACGCACCCCTCACCCGCACACACGCAACCCGCACGCCTCTCACGCACTGCTTAGATAAACAATAATTTAATTTAAACAATGTTGATGCTAACTATATTGAAACAACGATTCTAGCAATGGAAGCACAGATTAAAAATCTGCCCTTCACCAAACACGTGTGCAATCTGTTACAGCAATAATACAATTGACCGCATGTCAAACTCGATTTTACCGCTTTTTCCGCGGTACAATAAAACGGAACCAAATTTCGTTTAGTCAACTTTAAATGGAGTTTTTTACGTTTGACATCTTGAAATTGTAACCTACAGTGTAATAATACTATTACTGAATGTCAGACATATTGTGCGTATAATCCAGCTGTATAGCATTTACTATGTCGTAAGAAAAAAAATTGTGTGCTTTAATATTTATATTTTTTAATTTAGGGCCCCTTATAACATATTCTACAGCCCCACACTTGCTTATCCCGGCCTGCTCTAACACTTCTCATTCGTAACTTACTTGAAACACTGTGTTCGTCACAGACGAAGACGAGCGTCGTGCTAGCGACAAACAGACACCCCCGGCTGTTCCTGCACAGACAATAAATAATATCATTCTTGATTATATTGCACAGTACTGGCAAATATGTTCAGGTGCGCATTACAACAAGGCTGATGTATCAAGACAATAACATAGCGGCAGAGCTCATGACATAGCTGTGGTCATGAGTAAATAATAATATATTATTCCTTATATCTATATCTATATCTACTATATATATATATATTATATATATGATATAATATTATTATATATATATATATACCATTATTCGCTCGCTGTGGTTTATATCAATTTGCTGCAGCAACAGTCCGTGAAATGTACTTACGCTGTGACACATATGAGCTACTGATTTCTACTGCAGACGATCCGGGTAGAATAATAGGCCGAGCAATGATTGTATCGGACGTTAAAACGAAGGTAAATATAACATGAATCTGATTGGCTAAGTACGCGTCGAGTTGACCGAATTAAAAACAATTTGATTCAAGAATCGCGGTAGTGCTGCGCCTATAATCACGTATGCGCATTTCACTCCTAACACGACACAAACAAATGACAAGTAATGTCAAAACATGCGTTCTAGCGCAACACGCAGGGGTAGAAATTAAGCTTTGAAACAAAGGAAGCCCAACGACTCCTGCCCTCAAAAAAGAAGGGAGTTCCAGCAGCAAAATGAGGAAATCCGGTAGTCTTGAAGTTCAAATTAAAGTTTGGCTTGAGAAATACGGCAATCCGCGAGCCTTGCTTCTGAATCGAGAGCTAGATATAGCTGTAGCGGGCAATCTACATTTAATGCGGAGCACTACCTTTATTTGCTTAATTGCTCTTTGTTTATGATGCCCAGCGGCGCGCAGGGCCTTTATCATTGAGTTGTAGACAGAAGAAAGCTTCTTGCCAAGTGGCGCTGTCAATTTTTCACAGCTATTTTGTCTTAGCAAGAGCTTAAGACATATGGATCCTTGATAGATAAAGAGGTAATAGAGCAAAAGGACGTTATCTTGTAAGATGATGTGCAATACTGAGTAATTGCGGCGCATTTCTGTAATGGTAATTTGCCTTCTTGTATGGCCATCGTGATTACGCGGAGGTTCTGTGCTCTTGTTATATAATGATGATGTTATTCAGAATCCTATTTGTAAGGCGTGAGCTGGATTAATCTTTATATAAGGTTAGTTGGCTGTACCCTGATGCGTATAAGATTGCTTGTCAATACGTTTATACCGCGGGCAGGGGGGGAAGATTTTAGTGTGCCCTTCTTAGCAAGGTGCAGCACTGTGCAAATGACTACAACATGAGAATTGATCATTTATAAATGATATTCGTGGATGTGTGTCTATATGTGAAATGTATGGGTTTGCATAGATCTAACTAAGTCTACCGACTGCTCGATGTGGTATTTTCGACCTGTGTTAACGAAGACTTTCGGCGTCTGTGAGAATTTACAACTAGCAATGATTTTCAGGAGTCACACGGTAAATCAGGGAGTATTTGACTCTGGACTCGGCTTAAATCTTGCACCGAACACTTGACTCACGTATCGAAAAGCGCTGAATCAGGCAGTGGCATCCGTATCGTGTGCACTCGGCTCCGCTCGGCATCCGATGGCCGCTGAACGGTCCACGACGGTTTGTCTGCCGGCGGAGAAGTCTTAAGCAGTACGATACGCCACATAGCGGCTGGCCCGTCTCTGTGGCAGCGTATAGATTCACTGTTGCCGACGAAGATCACTGCTCTGCGCCGTTCTACCCGCGAAACAACGATGAACCGTAATTAAGCTTCAACTGAGCAGGCAGTTGGCTGACAGACTGACTACATTAT